AGCTAAAACCGATAAATTTCGTAAGCTATTGTATAATTAATAAAACAAAGTCTACTGAGAAAATTGTCAAAATCTATGTTGTATAAGCCTTATCTCGTATACCACTGATTGTTCCTATACCAGTTTTTGCGATATATCTCCTTTATGTAGGAAGCTAAACCCATTAAATTGTGTTACCGGTTTACATACCGATCACACAGCAGTGAAAATCACTTAAGATGTTCTTACACGATATGTTTTTGCATGTGTACATGCCACTTTTTACATATGGAAATACCAACATATCGTGTAAAGGCAAATTAGATTTGTTTCTGTACAAAGCATATGCACGTACATACGAAACAGAAATGTTTCTATTTTCATCTGACACACAGATAGAATCATCTAAGGTTACTTTATTTCGTTTTCAAAGATCGTATTTTTAAAAAGTTAAATAAAGACTGTGAATTTGACAGACATACACAATTACATGTGTATTGAAAAAACTCACATTTACAGATGCAAATACATATCGTATAAGAACACCTTTAGATTGGTGCTATATAACGTATATCTTCCATACCTCTGATTGTTTAGATAAGATTTTTTATATATGCAACTCCTCTATCTATGTGTGCTGTGAATATATAAATTTTTTCAAATGCAGTAATCTGTTATAGTAAAGTTTTCAGATGTTCATGAAAGGTATGAAGCCTTCGGCATAGCCGAAGACAGCGCTGCTCTTACTTGTTTTTATACTCAGCTAGCACAGCACGAAAATAATAAAATTATAGTTTGAAAACTAAAACCTCGCTATTATAATTTCCATTCGTACTGTCATCAGGTATGTAACTTGAGAATAGAAATCGCTGCATCTTTTAAGCACATCAATATTACATAGTTACATCCCGAGCTAATAAAAGGGAGGTAAAAAAAGAACCTTTGCCAGCTTCAGACATACGTAAAGCGAAATTTATGTACAAGTAGCACTGCGCCCAAAGCGAAATTCATGTATGTATGTACAAGCAGCGCTGCGTTCAAACAAACAAACACTATAGGTTCATTGCTTATCTTTTTGGACTAAAATCTGAAAAGTGTCAAAATGCCAGAGCGTAAGCAAAATGCGCTCACTAAAAGAGAATAACAGGAAAAGTAAAGGAACGCAAAAAACCAAATTTTTAGTCCAAAGAATGGCAACAACAAAGCTAACGTCAAATAAGAATGGAAATGTATGTACAAAACACATTCACACAAGCACAAGCACAATAAACACTTACTATATCAATTATTTTTTGCCTCCTTCCAATTTCAATTCACTTTTTTTACTTTTTAGATTATTCTCACTTTTTGCATATTCTTTAATTTCCGTTAATTTAAATTTAGTTGAGTTTGACACTTTTCAGGATTTTGCCAGAAATAATTCTTCTGACTAAATCTGACTACTTCGGACTGATGAGAGTCACTCTCACTGGGTGTTGCTCTCTCATTTTGGCTGTCATTTCCGAGTTAAGGAACGCTTTTTGGACTAAATCTGACTACTTCGGACTTTTTCTGACTATTTCTGGGAGATAAGGAACGCTCCTTATACATACATCGTGTATTTCGTATGGCAACTGTTTTCGTTTTTTTTTTACTTCAAAATGCTGCTTGCTGCGATATCGGCACATGCTCACTGTAGGCTTCTTGGTGTGGCCACTTTTTTGAGCATCTACCACCCAAGATCTGAAATCTACCACATATTCACGTTTTTGAGTACCTAGTTTTATTTTTGCTCGACATAATTTTCTTAGTTTGAAGAACAAAAATTGTCCAACACTAAACACTATATGGTAACAAGAATGATATAATACAAGAAAGTAAAATATAAAGAAAGTATTACCAAATTTCAGTGCATCTAAAGTTTCTGAGGCGTTGTTTACATTTACTTGAGAATTGTCAAAATCGATAAATCACAAGTAGCGGCTTCTGTAACGTGCCACATTTGTTCGCTACATCGTGATGTGATAGAATGAAACGCTGACAGCACTCCGCAAGGTTGCAAAAAAAATTATGTTCGAATTATAATTCCGATCACGGGTGTGGCATACATACATATGTACATACATTGATCTTCAGCTTTTCCTTTAAATTTTAATTATTTTAATTATTTCATAAATATGAAGTTCATTAAAAAAGCAGTTGGCGCTGCGCAGCGAAACCTTATTTTACATCGCTGTAGTAGCATACAGAATAAATAACAGCAAAGAAATGTGTGCTTCGCTTCATGCAAATGCAACAAGCAGATCAATATTCAATCAATTGAGTTATGGTCTGATTGTGGCAACTTAACGTAACTTACGGCTCTCTCTTAAAAATTCTGTTAAATGGGTGTTGCTTATAATTGAACAGCCGAAACTTAACCTAGCTTAATGCCACGTCGAAATCTGTTTCATTTGGATTATCTAAGTTCTACGTTCCGTTAAGTTGAATTAAGTTGCAATAATCAGGCTTTTAGACTTACTACATGCATACATATGTACATAACTATGTTCAAATTAGAATTGATGTGGTAAAGTAATTTAGCCCTGTTTTTAATGGGAAACCTGCTTCTGTCTAGCCGAATTCCATTTTTCCAACGCTGAACTGGCATGCACAACAGTACATATGTATGTCTATTTGTCGGGCACCATGGGAATTCGGCACATTGTTTCGCGAAGTTAATAAATTAGCAAGTGCGTTAAAGGCTGAGTTTTTGGGCTTATACAAAGTAGAATTTCGTTACTAAATATAAAAAAAAATCTTTGAAATAACAGAATAGTGCCAAGCGTTTAAAAATGCCTAAAGCTAAAAGAAATTTGTCAAGACAAACGGTCCGTAATCGGAGAATAGTAGCAGCGGCGCAAATAGAAACGATGCCTGCAATTGGAATTAGATCTGCGTTTATTTATCGACCTCAAATCAATTATATATGTAGGTAATTTTTACAATAAAAGTCTATCTACACATATCAGTGCCGTATCTATCAGTGTCAGTGAAAAATATAATATCGTTACCTCAGTCCCAAATAGAGTTGTTCAGACCGTCCGGCATAATGCCGTTTTTTTTACCGTCAGTGCTGCTTCAGTGTTCCTTCCGCAATTTTTTTATACACTCTTAAAACTGCATGTAAAACTGCTACTGAAAAGTGTTTATTTTCAAACAAAATTTGTGTAAGTATACGCATAAGATGTTCAAGTGTGGATTTTTGAACATGAGATGTTTAAAATACACACACGAAAGGTTTATAATTGCAAACATTTTTAACGCAAACATACAGTCCCTTTAAAAAATAAAAATTAAGTACATTTGATCTGTAATTTTGCTCTATGCGACAAATTTGGTATGTAAAAGTAAACAGGCAGTTTTTAATTTTATTAACACGGTGTCTAATTTGCACACATTAGGAGAGGAAACTGGCAACCTCTCTTAATATGCGTTAATTTAAACAAAAAACTTTTAGAAGAAATTTTAAACATTTTATGTGTAAACTGTGTAATTGGGAACACTAAGAAAATTCTATAGAAATTTTTTGTAGTTAAGTTTAACTAATGATTTAACTATATTTTAAAATGGTTAAATTAACTGCCCAAGGGGCCAAATTCACAGTGCTTTATTAAAAATCTGTAGTTAACTGCCGATTCTGAGTTAACTACGCACTGTGAATTTGGCCTTAAGTGTTTAGAATTCAACAAACAAATTTCAAATTTGTTCTACGCCGTACATAGGGTAAGTAAAAGTTAAAAAGCAGTATTTAAGTTGATTAGCATGGTGTGCAAATTTGCATACATTAAGAGAGGAAACTGGTTACCTTTTTAATATGCTTAAATTTAAACAAAAAGTTTTTAGAGCGAAGTTAATTCGGCAAAGATTTGTTTGTGTATTTCACTGACGAGCTGACGGTATTCTATTGCAAGTTTTGTTTGATATGGAGGGAAAATTAATCGAGTGGAATTATCCAGAACTATATAATTTGTCAATAATTGCCAATTGATCATTAGTAAAATAAGTCATCTTGGTTTCAATGAACTTTATTTTTACTGAAAGTACCGGGCGACATACTACGGATGTGTGTGAATTGGTATCACTGCTCGATGATGATTGGCAATGATACTGAACTGATACGGCACTGATTTGTGAAGATAGATCTTAACTTTTATTATTGTTACCAATCGATTACAACACATTATATGTACATACATACATATGTACTAGGGTTACAATTGCCGGCTAGATGAATTATGGATACTAATAAAGGCAAAATTCTTCCCCTGAGAGGTTTTCCCATTTGAGTTTCAATACGGTTTCCCCTTAGCTTTGATGCAAAATTACCCATGAGGCGTCACGCCGGTATTTCCTAGTTTTTAATACATTTTTAAGTGAGATTTGGCATTTTTGAAGCGAATTCTGAGATAGGGCGTTCTTCAACCAAATTCTGAGACAGGTTGTTTTTCGATAATATTCTGAAACAGGGTGTTCTTGAAAAGTTTTTTGAGATAGGGCGTTTTGGAACTGGCTGCCGAAATAGGTCCATCTTCCACTCAGCAGTCGAGTTGATATGATTGTAAAGTTATTAGGCGCGGTCCTATTTTCCGAAACGAAATTTCGATTTAATTTCAGATTTAAACTTTAGTAAATTGCAAAATTTTCGAATCTTACTCTGGAAACGGGGAAATGAAAACGTAAAAACTTTTTTAAATCATAAAACTGTATAAAACCATTTGAATCAAACTTCACAAAACTTCTATTCTCTTGCGAAGTTTGTGTTTTCTTACTGTATTTTTAATAGTTCCCGTGTTGAGAACCAATAGGGCATTCATGATCGGAAATTTAGTTTCGGGCTTATTTTTTTGCTGAAAACAACTTGTTCATAGCCTCTATTTGTTTCTGATACTTACTCGTATGTGTGTTCATTTGTCGTTAATTTTAACTTTTGTTTTGCTTTGGTTTTTATCATTTTTAATGTTTTTATCACTTCGCACCATTGATTTGTATGCGCCTTGTAGTATACAGTACTATATTTTCTTCAATGCAAGCAGAAACGCGAACAACAGAGAGCGGCAGCACACCAGGTGGTACTGGGAATATTTCAAGTGCCAACAATAGTGAATTAAGTAGTAAGCATGAGAACGAAAAGCCGAACAATGATGTATACGGTGGCATTTCACTGAATTTCAATGGCTTGGAGAATGGTTTGGAGAACGGTATGGAGTTTTTAAGCGTTGCGGCTGGCGTCACCGCAAAGGATAAACGTATTAAAGATGTGAAAAACCAAGCTGCAGCGAACAAGGAAAACAAAGACCTGTTTCCAAATTTTCCAAGTAAAATTCTAACAAAATTAGCATCGCATTAATTTTGGATAAAATATGTATATTTTCAAAAATTGCAGAGTTCTTTAGCATCGAAGACTTTTTAACACCATCAAATGGTTCCAGCATTATCAATTGCTCTCAACTCGTTCTACCCGACTGCCCGGAAATACAGCTTTCAAGCGATACAACCATAGCACAAATACTTGCGGCTCTACATGGCAAGGGCCATTCGCTATCAACCCCATGCATTACCCTAAACTTGGTTTGTCTAGTAATTGTAATTAGGGTATATTAAGTAAATTAAATTAATGTTTTTTCTTTCAGATACCAGCTAAGACAGTGGAGGAAAAGGAGGAATCTGGGATTAAAGCTGCTGATATCGAGCCACTTCCATCTCCGTTGCAACGCTTCTCTAGCCGAGGTGGCTTGTCACTGCTCGCACAATATTTGCCAACAGTTTACCCCGACAATACCGGTCGCAGAACACCTACTACTTTGCCGGAGAAAGAGAAGAGCCCACCAATGACCGACTGGGTTAAGCTGGAACCAAACGATGAAATATACGAAGATTTGGAAGATCCAATAACCGAACCAACATCTAAAAACACTGCAATCACTTCAGTTCCGCAGCATTCCCTTGCAGCTTTTGGGCTTTTCCTGCGCTTACCACCATATTCTGATGTACTGTTGCGTGACAAAGTGCGTGCACAGTGTCTACTACGACTAGTATTAGGAGTTACGGGCGACGGCGAAGGAAGTAAGTGAAAATATGAGAGCTATAAAAATTTTGAATTCTACATTTTGTGCTTTGCCCAATTGCCTTAGATGACATATATAGTTTGTCGGTTGCACCATCGCTTCCAACGTTACCCTTTGAGGTGTTCCGCCAATTGTTGGACAACTCACCTCTCACTACCGATGACGGTATGCTACTAAGGCGAATGGTCATTGAAGTTGGCGCGATGCATTTAGTATTGAACTGCTTGGGGGTGTTTACACACCAATCACAAAACTATCAAATTACCAGCCCACAAAACGAGGTTAGTTGTGTTTAGTGAAACTCTAAATGTACCCTTGACCAATATCTTTTAAAAATAGTGTATTAGGACGACAACAAGTAGTAATGCCGACGAAGCCTTGGGCACATCTGATGACAAGGGGCACATGTACTGGGCTAAAGGTACTGGGTTCGGCACAGGTTCAACGGCACAGTCGTGGAATGTGGAACAGGCATTGCTGCGGCAAAAGAGCGAAGAAGAACATGTAACAGTTCTATTGCAAGTACGTATCAATAGGCATATTATGTTTGGGATGCCCATATATTGCATGGCATGTGATTTCATTTATTCAACTGTTGATTTAAATTTGTTTGAGAAAAAGATATAAATACCACATTCATTTACCCTGTTAGGTGCTCTGTAGTTATATAAATCCTGGCGATAAAATACCTGCTGCTCTACAGTCCGACGAAATAATGGCATATCATGAAATAAGCGAAGTATTCGGTGAATTACCCGCATTATTTATGGTTTTCTTACAACAGTCGTGTCTCATTCCGGCATTAAGTTCCTATTTGCGAAATGATTCCGTATTGGATATAACCAGACACATTCCTTTATATCGCGCAATCTTACAGTTGCTAAGAGCGTTGTCGCTTTCTCCGGAATTAGTATCATTGCTGCAGCCATCAGCAAATAATAGCGAAACTTCACCTGCGATTGCCGAGCTGCTTTTGAATATGAAAACATGCGTAGATACATATGCAAAACGCTTGAAGTTTGTTTTAACATACCTCACATTTTCTAAAGGACACCGTTTTAAACAGTTCTCTCTTTCACAGGGTGAATAAAAAGTCCAATATAAAGGGGCAAACTCAGCAAGTGACCGTCAGTATTGATGACGGCGATGACGAGGGACTTGCGTTGCTTATACCCGATATTCAAGAGACTACGTGGTTGGTGCAAAAAACAACAAATGCCGATGCGTTAGCCAATAAACAGCGCATGGATCGTGAAGCTGGTGGAAGTAGTATTACAAATATTGAACGCACGCCCCAAAGTAAGTCAGTGGAGCAACGTTACTTGGAGGTTATGAAAAAACTTCAGTTCGACACTGCGGAAATGATTGTGGAAGCAGAAAATAATGGCTTCCGTTTCGTCATTTCACATCATTTTGAAAAGATGGTGCGTATGGCTGGTGATCGTTATCACCCATCACGGGTGAAGCGCTTGGCTCAAGAGGCGGTTACGCTCTCTACAAGCTTGCCGTTGTCATATAGTAGTTCCGTCTTTGTACGCTGTGATACCGATAGACTGGATATTATGAAAGTGAGTATGAAGAATTCTCATGAAACTATTGTACTTTACATAAAACTACCTAACCCGGCGCCAATCTAGGGATAGCATTGCATAATTAGGGAATGTTAGTGTCATATTTTAAAGAGTGAATTTTAGATTTCTGGATTGCAGCGCACATTAACCAAAATATTTAAAATAAAAGTCAAAAATACCTGTGTGTTTTTCATTATGCACTAAATCCTACTGTAAATATAATTTTTGGAAACGGCTGCTTTTCAGTTGCATCTACCGAGTAAATTTTACGTAGCACTTTTTCCCTTCGCCTACCGATTCTTCACTCTGAGTTTGATTCGTATCGAATTGTAAATAGGATTTCCAGAGATATTTTAACTCTAGTGACATCTTTCAGGCCAATGTTATTGTTCTAAATTGTATTGAAGATATATGGCTCATATCGATGATCCTCTGCAATAACAACACAATTCAAAAAATAAAAACTCTTACTACTGTTAAATGGCTCATGTCTCTAATCCTTCTGTCCATGTCCATGTCTAATCCTAACTACAATTCGAAAAATAAAAACTTCCTACTGTTAAGTGGCTCATGTCTCTAATCTGTCTCTAATCCTTCTGTCCATGTCCATGTCTAATCCTAACTACATACTGTAGTCATTCTTACTATTTACTTGAATAAAGGTTAGACATGAATTAGATAAGGATTAAAGATATGAGCCACTTAACAGTTGTAAGGGATCATATTTTTTGAATTTTGAACAGCTGTCGAGCCAATTTTAGAACCAAATATTTACTTTCACGTAACGAATACCTATTCTGAATTGAACGAAATCGGGCTTTTAACCCTTATGTGAACACCATGTTCTGGCCAGACCAATTTTGACATTGAGCTAATTTTTCCAGTACAAAGAATTAAACTACAGCCATGATTTTCCTGGTTTGCCTCAATGAACTATTTTTAATGTGTTAGTGAAAAAGAAAAATTAATTAAATTATGTAAAACTGTGGTATAAGACATTTTAAATTTACAATGTGGATGTTGTACACCATGCCCTCGCCACGGCACGTCAGGAGGCATCTTTACGAACTGACAGACGAAGTCCAGAGGTATATTAAACAACCTCTGGACCCGTCAACCTACCGACAGGCCCTGAACGGCATTCACAGGGAATCAGTCTCAAGTTATGTAGACTCCCGCCCTGTGAATGCCGTTCTAGGCACACAACCACCGGACGTGGACGGGACAGAACTTTGTCTGCCTCGGGAGACCCGCACTACAATAGCCCAACTTCGCTCTGGCTATTGCAGCAGGCTCAACAGCTACCTGAGCAGAATCAACGAGGATGTGCCCAACCAATGCCCGGCATGTGGAGAGTCGCCACATGATTCTCGGCACCTCTTCACATGCCCTGAGAATCCCACTCAGCTAACGCCCCTGTCCCTATGGACAGCCCCTCTGGAAGTAGCACACTTCCTGGGCCTCCACCTAGCTGAAATAGACGACAACGTTGATGGATGAACCGCCCCGAACGGGGCTTAGTAGCCGCTACAACAACAACAACAACTAGACCCATATGACCATTTTGTGCCCCTTAGTTACCCTGAGCCAGGGCCGGCCGCAGGATTTTTCTTTGGGGGGGATTATGTAAAGCCATTTGTAACAACCAAGAATATAATTTTTTATTTAGAGTATTCAGAATATTGTATTTAATTGTGGATATAATTTAGCAAGTCACATGGAATTCACCGAGGTATAGATAAAAATTCTTTTAATACTGAGTCAACATTAACATGCAGATTGCGATAAATATTGAGAAAAGCTGGCCCATTGTGTGCCCGTTCACTGCCCATGCCTGCACATTGGCCTGCGCCTTAGTTGTATGTAGAAAGTTTTTTGTTAAGCTACAAAGAAAGTCTCCCCCAGAAAGTCATAAAAACGTGACCTGCGAAAAATGGTTAAAATCGGATTACGGAAAGACGTGCGCAAAGTTCAGCAAATTCATGGAATTTTTAACAAAGCGTTGGAGTCCATCAAGTGCCATTCCCACTGACTTATAAGCAAAATACTGACCGCTTTGTGAAAAATTCCATGAATTTGCTGATTACGAATCCGTCAGCATAAAGCAATAAAATATTTTAAAAGCTTCAGCTAAGAAACAAAGCTCTAGCTAAGAAACAAAAGGTGATAGAACCTTCCTGGCTTAAATTAAACCTAGATGTCTCGACTGCTATCTCTGAAAAGAGATCTTAAATATTTGAGATCTTGAAATATTTTTTAACATTATTATCTTAAATTAAATGATGCCAAATTTGTATGCATATTTCGCTCCACAGGGGTTTAAATTTTTGTCAGTATTGGCTACTTTTCTCTTGTTTTTGTTTTCTTGTTCATATTTTTTTGTATAAGTATTGCTCATTATCTAACTAAAATCATATAAATCCAAATTTCAAACTACAACAAGTAAAAACAAAACCGACTTCAAATCTCATATAAAAATTTAGGAGTGCCGTTAATTTTTTCATGATCCAATGATCGGATCTAAACCAAATTAGTATGGGACCACCTCTGAGACACAACCTTTCCGAGGCAACCTCCTCCTTTTTTGAAGTCGGTTAAAAATTCAACAAACTTTTCATCACAATTCCAAAGCTTTTAATTTGAATTTCTAGAAAAAAAATTCGTATGCAGTTTTATAGCTTATCAAATTTTAATTTAATAAGGTGCAATTTTGAAATTGCTAATAATAACTCCCATTTATTTTTTTCTAGCTGACAGTGTTATAAATAAAAATAAATAAAAATATTATTTTTTTATGGAAGAAAAATTATAAAAAATCAACGGGATTCTTTAACAATTCAAACTTGCCCTACACCTTATTATACTATTATTAATAAAACCCTTTGAATTCTGTATGCATATACATGCATATAGTTACCTAAAAGTGAAAGTTTTTTTTTGAAATTGTTCAAGGCAGAGAAAAAATCGATGCATAAAACACTAAATTTTGTAAAAAAATGGACTCGACACATTTGCAGCTTTAGGTAGCGATATGTTTTCTTATGGAACTCTTCAATTTATATCATCAATGTTGCCTATTTCAATAAAAGCAAGTTTAAAACTTTAATTCTAAAAATATTTCATTAAATTTTAAGGTTCTGATTACTGGACCAGCAGACACTCCATATGCGAATGGATGCTTTGAGTTTGATGTTTTCTTTCCGCCTGATTATCCAAATCTCCCGATGATGATAAATTTGGAAACAACCGGTCGGCATTCGGTGCGCTTCAATCCTAATTTATATAACGATGGCAAGGTCTGCTTATCTGTGCTAAACACATGGCATGGTCGACCTGAAGAGAAATGGAACGCACAGACTTCAAGTTTTTTGCAAGTTTTGGTGTCCATTCAGTCTTTAATTCTAGTGCCAGAACCATACTTTAACGAGCCTGGATTCGAGCGTAGTCGTGGCACACCCAGTGGAACCCACTCATCTCGCGAATACAATAGTAACATTTATCAAGCTTGCGTACGATGGGCAATGTTGGAGCAGATACGTAATCCCAGCCCTTGCTTTAGAGATGTTAGTAAAAATATATATTGTGTATTTTATACCCAAGGTTGTTAAATTTGTATACTCCAAAAATTTTCAGGTAATTCATACCCATTTTTGGCTCAAACGAGATGAAATATGTTCGCAAATCGAAAATTGGATCGAAGAGCTAAGCAAACCGCAATACAGTGAGCGAAATAGTCGTACTATATCTTTTAATTCGATGGTTTTGCGCCGCCAATATCGTCATTTACGTGAAGAGCTTGCAAAATTGAAAGTGCCCGAGGGTTTAAAAGATCTCGACTCACCTTTCAACCCGAATATTAATCTACCTGCAATGACTGAGTCTACCAATGCCACTAACGCAACTAACACCTTGACGACGACTGCGATGGCTGTAGCAACGACAGCAGATGGTAACACTGACAAGAATGGTAATGGGAACGACAACTCGAGTGAAATTGAAAATAAGAATGTAAATATGAACAGTGACAGCAATACAGTTGCCACACAAATGACAGTACCAACACTTTCAAGCACAGAAGTGGGCATTGATGAGCAGCAAAATATTTCGAATAAAATGTCAATGAAAACTCCCGAATCTATGTCTTCAACTGCATCTAACGCACCTACGACAACATATATTCGGAAAAGCGTACCGGTTTCCATGTTGGTTGAAGTTAGTAATGAATTTGATGATATGAGCGATGCAACAATCATGATGCCACCGCAGCCGCCAGTCCCAGCTCCGGTAACCGCCAAAGTTACTACTGTTGAGGTGGCGACCACACAGTCTGGGGTGGACGATGACGAGATGCAGATTGACTCAAACGAATACAACTACAATACTGATCTGGTGCAATCGCTTTTTTTCGATGATGATTCGCAGTTTGAAAATTCCAAATAGGGTGATATTAATGAAGACTCGATGAATACATGGCAGATGTTAAATCGCGAATGAAAGCTCAGTGTATGTGCTTTATTTCAAATCAATTTTAAGTACGTGTGTGTTATCCAATTATTTCCAATATTATTAATTTTATTGAATCATTTTTTATAAAATCAAAATAGAAGTCTTTTGTTAATATACAATTGTGGGATTTTCTCAATTTGTTGCTAACAAATGAATTGTGTCTTTTACTTCAAATAAACTGTATTCAAATTTTATTGAAACGCAAAGGAAGGTTTAATTTGTTGGGCAATCGGATACTTTTAGAACTCGATCGCCTGAGTTGCTTCAGAACAAGGACGTGCTGTCAAAAGTTCTAAGACAAGACCATATGCTAGTCTGAAAATATTTTATAACAGTCAGTTATATAACAATATGCAGAGCTGGGTAAATGCAATTACATTACAATTACAATTACATTACAATTACAATTACATTCCTCCGTAATTGTAATTAGGATTCAATTCCTTCAGTTCACAGCAAAGGAATCGATTACTTTTTCAATTCCTTGAAGTAATTTCAAATGGAATGTTTTTTTCTTAAATTCCATTACAAGGAATTTCATATTGTGATTGGAATAAATTACGTCCTAGTAATGTAATTTTTTTTTTCAATTCCTTTGAAAGGAATTGAAAATGCAATTCTTTTGAAAGGAAATGAAAATGTAATTGATTTTTTTCGAATTCCATTCCTCAAAGTAATTTAAAAAGTAATCGAAAAATTTATAAAAAAAAATTACTGTTGAATTGCAATAGCTTTGTTAAATTTCTTGGTTGCTAACTGCCTTGAATATATAACTTATACCTAAGTAGTATTACTAATTGGACTTTAAGAAAACTGAATAACTTAAACTGTAGCTTTTCAGTTTATAGGGTAACGGTTAAATTTTCCAGATCCTACCGCGAACGCGCTTCGCGGCAGATGGGGCATAACCCGCCCGGACTGTTGCTGCCTTGGGCACTGCTGTTCTCTTGGACTAATCCCTGCGTATCTATAAAAATGTACTGACTTAATTGTGTATATTATGGCACCCTTAATTCTACCCAAAATGGCGTGCCTTCTGGGGCCTTTGAAGTACTCTTACTGGTATCCTGCGTTACAAATGAGGATAGAGTCCGCTTGAAATACGAGCCCTGTCGGACTGGATATCCTGCCTCCTAAGAGTTTTGTAAACAAATTGCATTGCTATGGCTAAATTTTGATGATAACACTGTAACGACGCTAAAATTACATAAAAAACGCCGAGACACGTAAAATTAATTTTAAGTAGTATGTTACGGATCTGTATTAGATAAGGTCATTTAGTCAAGTTATTTTCATTTTAAAAATAAATAAAAATGCTAGAATTAAACAATCATGATTTAAAATATCCCGAGTGACCAACAAAAATTTAAAATATATTGTACATTTCCACTGAAAGGTTGTAATTGTCTTGTACAAACGTCCGCAAAGGTTGCAGTTGAACAGGCAATTAGGGTGGTTTTTGCCCTGGTTTTTGAAGAGCTTGTGCGCTGTTGTTGCAGTAAAGGGTATGTTTTTGATTTGTTAATCTACTTAAGGCAGAAAAACCGGGAAGACTTATTAAAACGGGTCATTTGTATTTTATGTTGTAATTGTATGTGAAATTTTTAAAAATTTCTTTATATAATTCTCTTCTCACGGAGAAAATTTAAAATTTTCTAATGCAAATCTTAACTAAAGATACTTAAAAAGATATAAAATATTCTTTATTTTATCAATTTAACTGAGATAAAATTTTCAAATAGGCAACCCTCCTCAAAAGTATTTTTGAGTCTTCTTTTTTAATCCTCTTTAATTTGATACCTAGATTGATTAAGTTGAGTTAAATTTTCAAACAGGTGGCAACCCTCCTCCAACATATTTTCGGCAGTAAGCCTTTTGAAAACTCTTTAGTTTGACACCCACATTGCAATATTTCATTTACTCTATCAATTTAACTAAGTTACAATTTCCAAATAGGTGGCAGCCCCCTCAAAAAAATTTCCAACGGTTATTTAGTTAAATTTTCAAACAGATGGCAACCCTCAAACATATTTTCGCCAGTAAACCCTCTTAAAACTCTTAAGTGAGACACCCACATGGCAATATTTAATTTATTTTATCAATTTGACTGAGTTAAAATTTTCAAATGGGTGGCAACCCTCATAAAAAATACTTCCAACAGTTATCTTTCTTAAACCTCTTTAACTTGATACCCATATTGTAATAATTCATTAATTTTATCAATATAATTGGGCTTAAAAATTTTAAAATGGGATGCAACCCTCCAAACTTTTGCGATATAATTGGTTCTGGTATTATACGGAATAATATAAGAAAAAATTATTCAAATCGGTTCAGCCGTTCTCGAGTTTTGATGACCGTGACATACGAACACAACAATTTTATATATATGTACACTAGCTGTACCCTGCCACGCTTTGCTGTGCTGTTTCCTGTTACATGGATGATAAGTGATTAACAAAACAAAGTATACGTTTCATACAAGTTTGATTTTGTAATAAGTACTTGTGTGCACACAATATTTGTCGTTTTTCCATTCTCTGCATAGAAATTAAGGATATCTGGTTTGCCGACACGAGAACATTCAACATCCCGCCGCATGCCAGTCGTAATTCCTATAATTAATTTTCTTAATAAAGAAACACTCTTTCGTCCGTTCTCCTTTCGATGTTTCTAAGTTTCAAATTTGTCAGGCAATAAAATTCGTCTTAATCTCTCATTGACTGGCAGCTTTCCGTTCCCAATGTCCAGTAATTGTCGCGAAATACGTCGGCTGCAGTGTATATATATATATTTTTTTTTTCTTTTCGATGCAGAAAATTTTGAAAATAATGTCGCTTACGTTACTTTGGCGGTTAGGACTCGATATGTACGTAAGGTATATTAACAGCCTTATTCTGTATCCCGAACGATAGGCAACACGAACGATTCGTCTGCAGAGGAATGCTTCAAAAATTACTCCGGCGGCATCATTTTAGCCGGTTTAAACGCAACCAAGACCATTGTAACGTAATGTATGAAAAGCAAGACGAAGACGACCGATAGAGTTTAAAATCGCAATCTGAGAGATTGTCGTCTGCAGATGAATCGTTCGTTTTGCCTATCGTTCGTGATACAGAATAAGGCCCTAAAATATCATTTCTACAGAGCACATTTAAAATTCATTGGGCGCGCTTCTAAGGCGTAGGTGTTGCTAAACTGTTGACTGTTTGTTTCAGAAACGCACAGTTGAGTAGTTCCACTCAGCTCAACGGTTGGCAACTTTACGCCATTTTTTCCATCATAAAATTATTTCGCTACATGAAGTCAACAATTTATGTAAGTCAGAAATGATGTTTCCCTTCCGTCAGTTTTCATAGAAAATTCAAATAAAAATATAATTTGCCTGTAAATTGCTGGCGAAACTGGCTGTAAATAAAATAAAATGCACGTACAAATACATATATTAAAAATAAAATAAGGAAAACTCCATTATAAATCCTGTGCTATCCATATTTTTGGCTTAATATTGTTTTTTTTATTTTTGTGCTGTTTTATTTAATTTTGCTTGTTTACAAATATTTTGGCAGTTAATGTATCATCCCGTTTCTATGACGCAACTGTTGTACTCAACAGTTGACAGCATTTCAGCAACAGTTGAGGTTCACAGTTGCGTCTTAGAAACGCGCCCATTGTAAACAAATTATTTTATACATACACTTGCGATCAGCTGATTAAGTCATCAACATTTTAATCGATTTTGGCTGTTTCTCTTTCGTTTATTTAATTTTTATTATTTTTCCATAAAAAGCAAGCTCATTAACAAACAAAATATAAATCCAAAAAAAAATTGTGCAAAAATTATAAACAATTTGCAAATTTTCAGCTAGATTTTCAACTTTTTATTCAGATTTTTTAGAATTTTTTTTTGAGCATGAAGTTTGATAGCCCATTAAATTTTAGGGCAATAATATGCAAGTTTAAAGGGGCTAAATAATCGCGTTGATTTTTAATAATTTTTTTTCTTGTAGACATTTGGTTAGGGGCTCGGTTGTCGAAAATGCTAAATTACGTTCAGCTATTTAAGAAGGAGCATAGCAATAGGTCCATGCAATATCAAAAAATTGTTACGAATTGTTACTAATACTTGCAAGTTTTATTGGAAATGCATTCAATAATCCAAAATATTTGCAAGAGGGAGCGAATTCGAGAGCGTAACAACCCGAGTAAGCTCCAAATTCTTGCAAGTAAAAATTTTACTTGCAGGAATTTGCAGGAGACAAAAAGTAAGGTTATGTTTCAAATTCAAACGGAAACAAACTGTTTAAGAGGATGATTTGATGAAACATAATTAGTGAAATGAAAATATGGATGAAAAATTTAAATCTATTGTATATTTTTTTTTATTTTTATGACGATCGAAACTATTCCAAATTAAAAAGGAAATTGCGCACCAAAACTTAACCGTCAGAAAATGTCAAAATGGCTTAAGTTGTAAGTTTTTACTAGTTTTCCGTTCAATAACTTTTTCTGAGAATGTTCTCTTGCTCTCAATTTTACTCTCTATTTTTTTTTCTTCTTTTTGGCTTTTTATGTGCAATTGCAAACATCACAGCAAGCCTCGTAACCTTAAGTGTTTGCACAACCAGCCTTTTAACACGGGATCCTTAGGCCAAGAATCAAAAAAAAAAAAATCTCTTGAAGCAGCTGCAGCAAAACACAAAGATTGTAAAGATTTTTTAATAAACTAATTCAAAATCAGTCCTACTTATTAGATTTAGTAACAAATAAAAATTACTGGGAAGTTAAAAAACGTAATTTTTTACACAATAATCGTCCAAACGTCAACAGGATACAAAAAACCTCCAAATGACGTTAAAAACGTCAACCTGGCAACGCTGCTCGCAATATACTGTTACGATTATCCTTGAAACCTTGAGGGATTACCCAAATATACTCGGGCTCGTATCGCTGGATTGTTAAATAAATGCTAACGATGACCGAATTGTAGTACAATTAACTTTATTGTACAGCAAACAATTTACAATACTTGCTAATACGGTAAAAACACTTTACAATACTTGTTAAAGCAATAACAACGCTTTACTACTTGTTAACACAATTAAACTTATAGCTTGCTTATTCGCAACTCAATTCTCCGCTCACTTCACTTGTA